TCTCAAAGTTCATCATTTCAGCTTGTTTCATTGTTTTTTTTTTCTTATACACGATCGTAATTGTTATTAAAATTATTTACTTTTATTTTCTGGCTATTTAACTTAAAAAATTACGTCAACCGGTTTAGTACACTCTTTAAATTACATTTGTTAAACATCATATCTATTACTAATAAAAGTTGATGCTAAATATCTCTAAGGGTGTCCACATAAGATTTAAAGATTCAATTCTATTGGTACACATCATCATTATCTTTAGTTAATTATATATTATATTAAAATTAATTAATTCGTTTTAATTGTTATAAAAAAAATTTCTAAATTTTAACTAATTCTATTTTTGTTGTTATTAGAAAAGTCTCTAAATTTTAAGTTTTTTATTAATAAAAAACAGTTTTGAAAATAGATCTTATTTTTCTATTAACAATAAAAAGTAAATTAAAATATAAATAGATTATGAAAGAAAAATCAAATATATTGAACAAAATAATTAAAAACTGTATTTAAAATCATAATTAAATTACTTTTAAATTTTAATCACGACAAACAATTAAAATTTGAACTGCTAATTTAAAATATATTAGTTGTCATCCGTGTTGATGTCTTAGGCCAATGAGAACGTCTTCATATGACATATATACTCAATCTGATTGGTCTATATCAGCGTTTTTTATTAAACATAAAAATATTAAATATTATTAATAATTTAAATAAATTATAACATGCAAAAATATAAAATTATCACAGTAGAATGGAAAATTAAGATAATTTTTTAACTAAATAAAAAAAATTTAAGTCAAACATCTAAATCTATAATGTTTGTCAAAAAAAATAGAAACTCATTGTCACAAAAACTAAACTAACAAAAACAAATATGTAAATCAATAACAAAAAAATTAAATTAACAAAAAACAATTAGCATATATATTTTAAATGAGTAATTTATTTAAAAACATATTTAACATTAACTTTTTATAGAAACATATAAAATTGTTATATAAAAATATCTATACTACCAAAAAAATATTCATGTTAAATTAACAAAAGAAAAAATCATCTAAAACTTGATATTTAGCATAATTATTTAGAAAATTAACACAAAAAACTTAAATAACCAAAAATGATATTTTATGCTAATCATCATATAATATATAAAAATTGATGGCATAGTGCATTGGGGACGTCCACATGGAATTAAAAAACTCGATCTCATTGGTCAACATCTGCATATTCATTAAACAAAAAAAAATGTTAAGTATGATTAAAACCTTAATTTTGTTTTAAAAATGGAAAAATTAAATAAAAAAGTTAAGTAACGAATAGAAAAGAAAATTATGTTAAAAAATCAAAAAATAGTATCCTTAAAAATAAAATAGAAATTTGTTTTCAAAAGAGTTAAAATAACAAAAAAAAAACCAATAGCATAAAAGTTCAAACTTATAATATAAATTAGAAAAATTATAACTTCTAAATTTATTGACAAGAAAAGAAAAAATTGATTTCATTTTATAGATGGAAAAATCAGAATAAAAAAAGCTTAAGTAACAAATAGGAAAGAAAATTATGTTAAAAAAAAACCAAAAACTTAAATTGATATATGTAGATAAAATATTCAATTCAAAGCATGCATATTGCACACAAAAGATAAAAACAGTGATGCAAAGTCTCCACACCACTGATTTTACAAGTTAGAAAACTAAAATTATAAAATATTAGACTGTAAAAAAAAAAGATATCAATGAAAATTGAATAAAAATATAAGCCAAAACTTTTAGTAGACATGGTGGAGAGGGAAGAAATGGTTTTGTGTGATCATTGCAACTTCCTAACAAAATTAAATGCGAATCAACATAAATCATAGATTATATATGCAGTGAAAAACTGCATATTTGAACACATAAACCTTTAAGAAAAATGAACTATATGAATTCTCTAGGAAACAGAAAAAATATCAATATCTTAGCAAGAAAATATTTCTCTAAATTAAATGTATATGTACGTCAAAGTTGGATAATTCGATATGTGTCATTGTTATTCTTTTACATAATAATTTTCAAAATTTTATAAATAAAAATATAAGAAAATTACACCTTATTTATTAAATTCTCTTATATAAATAAAATTTTCTATAAATATAATATAGTTTTAATAATATAAAATATAGTAGCTAAAAAAAATTAAATAAAACTATTAATACAGACTCGCGCGTAGCGCGAGTTATATACCTAATCATATAATATATAAAAGTTGAAGGCATAGCGCATTGAGGGCGTCCACATGGGATTAAAAAACTCGATCTGATTGGTCCACATCATCATTTTTCATTAATCAAAAAAATGTTAAGTATGATTAGAACAGAAAAACTTGATTTAATTGGTCCACATCAGCTTTTAAATCAAACAAAAAATTATTAAGTATAATTAAAATATTAAAATTTAATTTAAAAAATTATTTCCAACAAAAAAGTAAATTCAATCTGATTGATCCAAATCAACATATTTATTAAATCAGAAAATGTTAATATGGTTAAAAATTTTAAAAGTTAAACAAAAAAAATAACAATTAACAATACATGTATATAAAAAAGTAACCATTATTAATTATCAATTTAAAAATATCTACAACAACTCGATTTAACAATTAAAACAATGAAAATTGAATAAAAATATAACATAAAACTCTTGGAAGACATGATGGAGAAGAAAAAATGGTTTTGCATGATCATTACAGATTTATAACAAAATTAAATGCGAATCAACATGAATTATGGATTATATATACAGTGGTACACAACATCAATAAGACTCTCAATAAAAACTAAATATTTGAACACATAAACCTTCAAGAAAAAAAGAACTACATAAATTATATGGAAAACAGAAAATAAAATCAAAATCTTATCAAGATTATATTTCTCTAAATCAAATGTATATGTACTTCAAAGTTGGATAATTCGATAGGTGTCATTGTTATTATTTTCTCTAATATTTTTTTAAAATTTATAAATAAAGATTGTATAAATTACACATTATATATTAAATTCTCTTATATAAATAAAAATTTCTATAAATATATATAATTTTTAATAATTTTAAAGATGGTAGCTAAAAAAATAAATCAAAATATTAATACAGACTTGCGCGTAACGCGAGTTATATACCTAGTATATACTATATAAAAGTTGATGGCATAGTGCATTGAGGGTGTCCACATCGGATTAAAAAATTTCATCTGATTGGTCCACATAAACATATTCATTAAATAAAAAAATGTTAAATTTGATTAAAACTTTAATTTCGTTTTAAAAAGGGAAAATAGGAAATTAAATAAAAAAATTCAGTAACAAATAGAAAAGAAAATTATGTTAAAAAACCAAAAAATAGTATCCTTAAAAATTAAATAGAAATTTGGTTTCAAGAGTTAAACTAACAAAAAATAATAATATCATCAAAGTTCAAACTTATAATATAGATTAGAAAAATTATAGCTTCTAAACTAATTGACAAGAAAATAAAAACATTGATTTCGTTTTATAGATGGAAAAATCAGAATAAAAAAAAACTTAAGTAACCTATAGAAAAGAAAATTATGTTAAAAAAAAACTAAAATATAGCATCCGTCAAAATTTAAAAAATTAATTTCGTTTTGTAAATACAAAATAAAAAAATGCTTAAATAACAAATAGAAAAGAAAATAGGAGAAAATTACACATTATTTGTTAAATTCTCTTATATAAATGAAAATTTCCATAATTATATTATAGTTTTAATAATTGAAAAAATAATAGATAAAAAAAGAATTAAATCAAACTATTAATACAAACTCGCGCGTAGCACGAGTTATATACCTAGTAACTTAAAATAATTCTTTACATTTTTATTGTTAGAGGGAGACCAAGATCTTTTAAAATTATATCATATTTATAAATATTAACCATAACAGTTTCTAATTTTATGTTACAACACATATCACTAAATTTTTACACTTACCTATATCATGATCATAGTATTAATTGAGAAGAAAGTTTAGTTATTAATGAGAGTTATTATAATTGGTTACTCTTTGTATTTCATGCTAATTTATATAATTAATCTGAATAAAATTAATTAGCTAAAATTAGCTAAATTAATTTGGTTTATATTAGTTTTGTGTAAAAAATGTAATTATCCTAAATAGAAAAAAATATTTTAAATATATTGGTTAAAAAATTAATTAAATTTAATGAAATTAAAAATATATAATATTTAAGATATATATCTCGATTTAGATTAATTCCTATTTCATTTATAAAAATAAAATTATATTTATATTTATCGTATTATAAGAAAAAAAAAATAGTGTAAACTCTAAATCTTTATTTTTATAAATAGTATAATATCTCTAATACTTTTTTCGATCGATTTTTATATTTAAGTTTATACATAAAGATTTTGATTTTTTTTGTTATTTATTTTTTTTCTTTTAAATTTGATATAAAGTTGTTTCTCTTCACATAAAATTGATAAACTACTTGATTATATATTCGTTTTGATCTGTTTACATTAGTCTAATTTTATAAAATAATTTTTAAATTGTATGAATATTAGTATTAATTTTTTACTTCTACATAATAATTTGATGTTTATTAATTTTTATATTTATAATGAAAATTATTATATTAATTAATATTAAAATTTAATTTATCTGCATAAAGCGCTGAAAACCACCCAATTATTAAAGAATACACATACGACATATGTGGACACCACAAAATGAATAAAGAAAAGTTTGGCCACCCATTTGAAATCATTGGTTAGATTTGGTGATCACAAGAAATGGTAGATTAAGTTTTGAAAATTCGAGTTTTAAATTTAGAACGTAATTCAATACTTATGGTATTCGAACTTATTCCATAATCGCAATACAACCACTTTGTTTTCGCCAATGTGGGATTTAATTAATAGGTTACAGAAAAAAAAAATGTATATAATACAATTTTTAGTGTTCTAAGAGTTTCATTATTTTAGTACATAGGTGATGAGGCCGGGAATATGAATGTTCGTGATGTAATCGTCCCAACCAATAGACTTGGGGTCAAATTCGAACAACCCATATTTTTCTTCATTAATCTCTCTTCCTTTCAACCGCAATCGCTCAGTATTAATATCTTCAAATCTGTGAAAAGAATATAATTTAGAACATAATTCAATACTTATGGTATATGTAAGGAATATAAGGAAAACTTGTAGAAAGTTTTAGATGGATACATACATTCCCTTAAATAAGACATAGGGTCTATAGAGCTCGACTAGCCGCATCGCCAGCTTAATTTTGCGGTCAATGTCTTTGTATTTATTTCCATTCCACCATGGATAAATCATATCTATCAATCGCAACATCTGATAGTAGAAAAATAAATACATAAAAATCGTTTAAAAAACTCGTTATTTTCACTTTTTTTTTTAATCTACAAAATCACATCATTTCAAACTTCAACATTTGCCATTGGTGTTTAGTATTATATAATATTTTAGAGAACAAAACAAAACAAATATTATGCGGACCTGCAAAGGTAGCTTGTAACGAAGAGTCATGTAGAAGCTGAACTGAGCCATAGTGGACAAGATGGTGCCTTTAGAGACTATGATGGGTGAGCCGTTGCGTCCAACAAGAGGGCTTTTGGCAAAATAGCGAGCAGCGAGGTCGTGAAGCTGGCCGAATGTTATTGGGTTCTGACAAGACGAGCCGACATGGTACACGGTCTGAGAGCCTGATTGCCCGGCGTGTATTGCCGCAGCCGTGAGCATTGCGTTTGCGACCAGGTCCACAGGTACCTGTGAACGTTGATTTCAATGCACCACAACAAAAATACATACATAATCACATATGTAGCATATGTATTCATTTAAAGATAAAATTAACAATGTTTTCTGAAAATAAGGTTTTCTGTTTGAGATTTTTGATAATATATAATAAATAATCTCACGTGCCATTCGAATATAATGTTATGGTCTTAAGGCCGACGGTACTATATATTGAAATAAATTTGATTTTGGGTTCATGATGAAATTTTCCTTAATTAGACTAAACCCAAAATTAGGCCAGCTTCTAGAATGTCTCTAGAAACACTATAGAATATCACCTTCTTAAGATATTGTTTAGATATTGGTACAGAAAAATCTAGATAATTGTAACTTGTAAGACCATAATGAAAATCTAGATAATATGATAGAAAACTCTAAAAATTAAGATAATACTTGCAATATGTAATAATTGGAATTTATAAAGAGCTTATCCTTCTCTCATTTGCACCACGTGGAATAATAACAAGTTCAAAGAAAGAGTGTTTTTCTTATTTTCTCTAAGAGTTCTTCCATATTCCTTTTCATACTAAGAGGGTTTATAATTTTAGTTTATCTTAAGTTTCTTAGGTATTACGCTCTTGGACTAGTAATAAACATTATCAATGGTTTTCTTTACAATTTACGTCTGCCACATAAAACGAACATATCCATATTTTCATACTTTTTTTTTTTTTGAAAATGGCCTTCAAATCCATATTTACATACTTGAACACGGAAACTCAGAAAATGAATATATAGTCAACCCATGAATCCAATGGACTAAACCTTCAATAGCTTGTTTGCGTGTGAGATTGACTGCTTTTATACTTTATTATATTTTATTTTGTTTTGAATGAAACCTAAAATTCTTTATCTAAATACTTAGTTCCTTTATTTTTATGTAACGCAAACGCATAAAGGATTTTAAACAAATCACAACCTAAACTAAGTTGAACTTACAAGATCAAGGACTGAGCTTGGATCCGCAAGAAAACATTTAAGTCTTCCTCTGCCATATGCAGCAATCACACTATCTATGGTTCTGCACATATATAGGACAAAAAGAGTGTCATGAAATTTGATAATTATAAGTCCAAATTGTTTGTATGCTAGATCAACGGTATAGATTTACCTTAGCCCTTCAACCCAACCGGGAAATGGTTCTGAAAAAGTGCTAGTGATCATGGTGGGACGGATGATAACGATTGGAAGATTTTCTCTATGGTTACCAAGAAGCATCTCTCCCATTGATTTGGTAAACACATATGTGTTTGGCCATCCATGAAGCTTTGCCCTAGTAATTAAGAACAGTTTTATTCAACCACGTTGGATATTATCAATTCTAGATAAGAACTATTTTGTGATTATTACACTGACCTTGACATTCCAAGATCCTTCATCGACTGTGCAATCTCTTCTTCAGAGCAATCATTTTTTTGCAATCCTTTCAGTTTCTGCTTCATTAGCTCCATTTCGGTATCTATAACTAGTTTTCCATTTCCATTCAATGTTTCCCCCAAGTGGAATGTTTTCTCTTGTAAGAGTCCGGATTTCTCTCCGCAGACATACGCTACAACAATACAAATTTGATGTGACTATAACTATATGACCGTTAAATACGGTTTCATACATGATACATATATAATGAATCAAACGATATAAACTATGTATGCTAGCTTTTGTGAAAATAATGAGATTACAAGACTCACCGGTTGAGACATGTAGAAGCAACTGTCCTTTAACACACTTCTTGGCAAAGTTGAGGACATTGAGCGGTCCAAATGTATTGATGCTAAGACCAACATCATATCTTTTTATACATATATACAAAAATAAAATTTTGATATTAGATTTTAGTATTTTCTTCAAGGATAAAACGCTTTAGAATAGAGAAATTAACATCAATTGAAAATTTTTCGACTATATTTAAATCTACACCTTTCATTGAAGTTCGTTGTGGCAGCAACATTGACAACGATGTCGATTTCATTCCACATATTTTGTAAGAGGTCAGAGTCCTTCAGTCCCAGGTTATCGGCTGAAATATCACCAGAAATCGGAACGACTTTTTCTAACATTAAATCATTCAAATTTGCATCACCTAAATCGTTCCTCAACACTCTAAAAAGATCTTTCTCCAAAACCTGTTGTATTGTTGCATATAGGTCAAATCATATTCGTAAAATATATTATAAATATTTGGTTATAAAGTTTATATAATCTTTTTCTTTTAATACAGGAATCCCAGACATATGGAAAGATGGAGACTAATCCCAAGGAAAAGTGCAGCCTGTAGATAGATTCTCTTTCCGAATATTCAGATGGGTCGAAAACAAAGACTCATATCCATGTGACCAAATGAGAATTGTTTATATAATCTTCATGACTTATATCTAACGAAATGTTTTAGCTATACCTCGGTGCGAAACCGTTGCATGGCTGCTTCATTGTCTGCGGACCTCAAGAGAAGGTAAAGCTTCTTAACGTTTGGTTGTACCCTCAATATTTTCTCCAAAAAAACTAATTTTTAACACATTATTCAAAAAAAAAAGTTCATTAATTATGTTTGAAAACTAATTATTTCAGTCAATAATTTTGGTCAGAAAATTTCGCGAAGGTTTGAAAGTGGTTCACCGTCAAAAATTATAGCACTTGTTTATATAGAAATTTTGAATTTGTTTAATTCGAAATGAATATTAAAGATACGTATCACGTATGTGATGCATGGACCACAAAAGGAGAATGAATGAATGAATAATATAACACCAAATAATTATGTTATTATTCACTAAAAATGTTATATATATCATGCAAATGAAATTGAAAAGCCTTAATGAAACCTTAGTCGCTAGAAAAATCAACAAGTAAAATTTGGTTTGAATCACAAAATTTTCGTTGTGGTACATAACAATCAATCACTAAAAGAGGATACCTTTGGCGAGGAAACCAGGAGCCCCAGTGACAAGAATCGTCTTGTTTTGGAGAAATAGAACACAACTCGGTTCCATTGAAGAGACTAGGATGTATTCAATGAATAAGCAAGAACAAAGTATATTTTGTTTCTGGTCACTAGACCTTTGAAGTTGAGGTACGATTATATAGACACATAACATTGACCATATTGTTAACCAATCATATCTACTATTTGTAGATCTACCTAAAATTATTTCTGATTTAAAAATTTAATTTAAAAATATATTATCAACAACCACATCTTTAACTAGATTTTCCTCAGAAATTTCGGAGCTTAAAGGGAGAAAACAAAATGTTACCCATCTTTTTCTGTGAAACAAAATTATCATATTTTAAATACAGATTGTGCCTAACTTTTAAAACTTTGCGAAGGATAAAAAATTTCAAATTAAATATGTAAGAATGTACAACATAGCAAATTAAATTTCGAATTCCTATTAAGCTATTGAAATTTTAAATACGATTAACAGAATGTTAATATGACACATTGTTATTATTCATCTATTTTTTTTTATATTATTAACACACACTATATATATATATATATATAACACAAATGCTAAAATCTGAGACAACATGAGTTTATAAATTCACTACGAATTTAATTCATCATGAGTTTTTGTTTCCAACTTACCTTCTATTTTCAGCCGTGTAAAATGTTGAGCATAGTAAAATTTGTAGGATCCACAATAAGTTAAACATCCAAATAGAATAAATAACCTGTAACATAATAACTAAGAAATTGGCTCGCACACATGTTCATACCCGCAAAACAGTTTTAAAAATGTAATTATATAAATATAATATATATATAATTACAATAATTAAACCTATCTCAAATATTTTAACTTTTATAGTACATAAAAATCAGATCCAGCATTGAATTATAAAACCTTAAGTTTAGTAGCAAAATATGGTTCAATTTTATCGTTCACCTAATCTACTTGCTGGGTAATTTCTCAATTCCACTTGTTTTTCATTCCGTATCATCTTACAATTTTTGATTGTTATACACTTATATATATATGGTCTAACTGAAAATATATACATATTGATATTACATTTTGAAATTATAGATTGAAATAAAGCATTACTCAAAAATCAGATTTTTTTTTGAGTTTAATATAACATAGCAAATGGACCAACCTGTATAATTCTTTGTGTGTTTTCTTGTTAACATGCCACATGCACAGATGTGTTTAATTTGAACAATTTAAATGTGATGTAGAAATAATGACGTGTAATGATAATGTAATTGTGACATGTCTCTTTTTAGTACACATGACTTGTGACATTATATTATTTAATCCATATATAACATGATACAAAATTTAAGTATTCAAGTTTTTAACCGAAATTTTGGAAAATGATATTTTTTTTATTTTTTATTTTGGTCAACAAATGCATTAATAATGGGTTGTTCATATATGGCCCAGTGGGCCTAGAGCTAAAATGGCTGCTTTAGCGAGCCTGTCTGCTGAAACATTGTCTTTACGGCCTATGTGCCTAAAAGAAAGGGAGGTGAAGCGAGAGGCAAGGCTTTTGATGTCGTCGAGAATGCCTGCAATCTCAATCATCTCTGATCCAGTTGAGAGGATGTTGATGAGGACTTCCGAGTCCGAATGCATGTGTAGGTCTCTAATTCCTAGTGCGATAGCTTCTCTTAACGCCGCGAGGATGGCTAAGGCTTCTGGAACCAGAGCAGAGGCTGTGAATCGTCTTGCCAAGGAGTTCTGGAGCAGCAAGGAACCCGATGGGTCATGGAAGATGCAACCCATACCCCCATTCTTATCCTCAGCATTCCAAGCGTCGTCCGAGAAGCAGATCGAGGCTGAGGGGCGGAGAGGGTAGTGTCTCGCTGATTGAGTGGTCTTCTGTTGAGTCTCGCTGGTGACGTTTGCTGCTTGCCAGTGTTGGGCTTCGACTGATGTTCTCGTCACCAGGTCTTGGCTTCCAGAGTCTGATTCTTCAATACAAGCTTGTTCTGCGCTTTCTAAAGGTACCAGAGGATCCAGGGATAGATCGGGGTTACCGCTAATCCTGTAACTGGGATGTTCTTGGTCCTGTAGAGCACTCGGAGGATACTTCGTGGGTCTGGATTAACTGTAGTTGAGGACGGGTTCGGGGAGATGGGAGTTTGAAGCCAAACTGATTGTGCAAAGGGGCATTCCCACCAGATATGGGCGATTGTTTCTGTTAGGCCACATCGCGGGCAGGAGGTATTTGCGTCGATTCCTCGCCAGGAGAGATTGACTCCTACTGGTAGGGCCCAGTTTGAACCTCTCCACAGGCAGTGTTTGATCTTTGGGGGCGTGTGGAGGTTCCAGATAAATTGGTACCAACTGAATTCTGGATCTCCAAGTAGATTAAACCTTTTTTGAAAATTATACCCTGTTTTTGTTGAGAATAGTCCTGATGTTGCAGGCAGCCAGACCAGCGAGTCTTCCGGTTTCTGGGAACTTGGTATGATTTGTCTGATCATCTCCTCATATTGAGGTAAATTAGCTTGTATTTCTTCCACATTCCATTCATTAGTTTCATGATAGAGCAGGTCTTGAACTAACATGGTTGCATTCTCTTTTGTAGGAGGACCATAAGGCGCTTGTGGGGTTGAGTTAGATAGCCATGGGTCGCTCCAAACTTTGATGGTGTTTCCATTGCCCACTACCCATCCTAAACCTTTCCTGAGAACTGACCTACCTTCTAGGATTCCTTGCCATCCGTGGGAAGCTCCAGGTTTACACTCAACATCCAGGAAGCTTTTCTCATTGCAGTATTTGCCTAATAACACTTTCGCTAATAGGCTTTCTTGGTGTTTCAGGAGCTTCCAGCTTTGTTTGGCCAGAAGAGCTATATTGAATTCTTTGATCTCTCTAAAGCGTAAGCCTCCGGCACGTTTTGGCTGTGCTAGTCTCGACCACGCCACCCAAGAGAATTTCCTTTTGTCTGGTGAGGAGTCCCACCAGAATCTGGTCAATATGGACTGAATTTTCTTGCATAATGATTTGGGGAGCTTGAAGCAGGTCATAGTGTACGTCGGGAGGGCTGCGAGCACTGCTTGGACTAAAACTTATTTACCTGCTCCTGAGAGATATCTGGTGGTCCAGCTGTGTGCTCGTTAGCGGATGCGGTCTACCAGTCCCGTGAATATATCCTTCTTTCTTCTCCCAAAGTTCTCGGGTAAGCCCAGGTATTTCCTGGATCCTCCTCCCTTTTCAATTCCTAGAGAGTTCATCACTCTTACTCGGGTTTCGTGAGGAGTTTTTGCCGAGAAGGTGATGGACGACTTGGATAAGTTTATACGTTGACCCGAGAGTCGTTCGTATGATTTCAGGATTCTGGTCAGCTCTGTGCAGCAATTTGTGTTTGTCCTGCAGAAGAATAGCGTGTCATCCGCAAAAAGGAGATGGTTTATTTGGGGGCTCCTCTGGGCAACCTGGATCCCTTTTAGTCTTCCTGCATCCTGTGCCCTGGAGCAAAGGCCTGAGAGGACTTCCGTGCAGATAATGAAGAGGAAAGGGGAGAGAGGGTCACCCCGTCTAAGGCCTCTGGTGGGGAGCACTTTTCCGTTGGGGGATCTGTTGATAAGGAAGGAGTATGACACTGAAGTGACACATTCCATTATCCAGTTCACAAAGGTTAGGTGAAAGCCCAGTTTGTGTAGTACTTCTCTTAGTATATCCTATCATAAGCCTTGCTCATGTCAGTTTTTACTACCATAGAGAATCTTCTTGTTGCCTTTGATGATTTTAAATAGTGCAGGGTTTCATGGGTGATCAATACGTTATCCGCAATGGCTCTTCCCGGGACAAATGCTGATTGATGTTCAGAGATGATGGAGTCGAGGATTGGTTTGAGCCTATTGGTTAAGATTTTTGCAAAGATCTTATAGTGGATGTTGCACAGGGCTATCAGGCGGTAATCTGCTGGTTTTCTCGCTGCAGTGCTTTTAGGCAGAAGGCAAACATGGGTGTTGTTGAGGTTCTGCTCCATGCTTCCTGTGCAGAAGAAGTGTTTGGTTTCCCTGCAAATGTCTTCCCCTATGATATTCCAGTAGGATTGGTAGAAACCTGCCGAGAACCCATCCAGTCCGGGGGCTTTGTCTGCTTGGATTGCAAAAGTTGCCAGTCGAATTTCCTCGGAAGAAGGTAAAGAAAAGAATTTTTTTATTCATTTCTGGTGAAACTTTTACATTTAGAGATTCTGACACATCGTTAAAATTCGAGGTGCCATTGGAGGTGAAGAGTTCCGGGAAGACGGATGAGAAGACTCTGCCTATGTGTTCTTCTTCATAGGTTGCTTCTCCCTTATTGTTTTCAATTACCATAATCCGGTTCGCAGCTCTCCTTCCCTTCGTGACTGCATGAAAATATGCTGAGTTCTTGTCTCCTCCTTGTAGCCACTGAACTCTGCTTTGCTGGCGACATAAGAGTTCTTCCGCTTTGTAAGCTGGTCAAGTTTAGTCGAAATAGTCCTAATGAGATGGGTAATTAGAGTTGGTGCTGAGAGGGCTTTTTCCAGGTTGCTTTGTAGGTCTTTTATAGT